AACACTGAGTCAACAAGGTCAGCTTGAAGAGCTGTTGTGTTTTTTAAGCAACATTCTTCTCTTCGCGGATCACATTTACATGCAGTAAGATGATGTTAACAGACATCAGTCCTCCTTGCCTTTCCTAGTATAATTATCTCTTAAAAACTCAACAGTATAGTCTACAATGACAATGACATGAAACAAGGCCCAAAAAAACAAAAATGTAAACACCACCACATTTCATGGTCAGTAACCCCTTCCTTCTCATGACTGCCTGTAAGATACACTGAACCTTAAGATAATACAATTAAAAAAGATACACTGAACCTTAAAAAAAAAAAAAAAAAAAAAAAAAAAAAAAAAGGATTAAAGTGAGTTCACCACAAGTACTGTAACCAAGGATTTTTTTCAGGGCTGAAAGACACATGATATTTATGAGATGCAGTATAATGAGTTCCTGTGGTCCATTATTAAGTTATGGTAACATAATACTTTTCAAAAGCATTTGCTTTCTTGTCTAGAAGGATTTTCCTGTGACTGCTGTATTGAATTTCAGGCATCAGCTACTTTTTACTTGTACAATAACTTCATAGAACTGAATCTCTCAGATAAAACATAACTATCATTGTATTTTTTGCAAGACACTAGCAAGTATTTTTGATTTTCCACTTCAGTCACGCCAGCCCCATGCTCTTGCATTTTCAGTTGCAACACATATATATGTATGTGTCATTCCCTTTGCAGTTACTGAGGTTGCACTTTTATGATACGGCTAAGAAGTTCTGCCTGTGAGCTGTGGTGTAAGACCTACCCCACTTCCCCCATCTCCTATACTTTTTCTGCTCCCCTTGTGTTACATTGATGCCCTCCTGACTACGCTGTGAGCTTCCAATTCTGATAGCTGAATCAGCAGAAATCTGGCCCAGGAGAAACACACACACAAAAAACCCAAACCAAAACAAACAAAACCCCAAACAAACAACACCACGCCAACCCCCCCCCCAAACCTACAACAATACCCCCCAAAAACACACGCACAAAAAGCATGCACACAACCTTTTTGCCTATTCAGCTCCAGCTTGGGGATCACAGTTGGGAGGAAGTAGTGCAAGGAAAAGAGTGAGAGTATGCAACAGCGCAGGGGACACTTCCTTTCAGTGACACAGACATTAGCTTATGTCAAAACCACAGTATAATTTTAATATTAGGAATCGTCATTACTGATTGTTATGGATGCACTGATTCTTCTTAAGTAGCCATCATTACATAGTACCTCTTGACACCTGTGGTATTGAGGTCTCCATACTAGCTGATGAGAAAAGCAGCTACTTCATTCTATCCTAGTTTGTGCTCTTGGCAAGAAAAAAGGAAAGAAACCTAAAAGCTGTGTCAAAGGTGCACACCTCACACTGCAGGACCACATAGCAGTACCACTTAGTTCATGATACACACCTCACTGCAGTAAAATGCAAGAGTCCATTCGCCTCTTCTCCTCAGTCATGAACCTTTATTTTAAGAAAACAGTAAAGATTTAGTCCAGTATCACTCAAATCAATACATGGCAGTCAACTGCAAGAAATGATTGACATTATAATCTTTTGTAAATAATCCTTTAAATCCTTTGAGGAATGATTTTCCAACCACCAACATACGTGGACAGTGGGTGCCTATTGAACTATGTATTACTTCCTATAATTGCTTAGAATCACCTAATAAAAAAAGATTAGATGCATAAGTTTACATGTTACTGTCTCTTTGATTGACAGACTGTGCTTCCTTGTCTGCAAAATAAAATTCATGCTTGTATTGTTGATAATTCATTAGCTATACTACAGGAATACCTCTATAACAGCACTCAAAGCACAACCAAATTACTGAGGCTTGTTAAACAGGGGGGAGGACACCAAACAAACAAACCCCCCAAAAAAACAGCTACAAAACACTTGGAAGCTAGGGAAATAAATACAAAGTTAAAGTTGGTTGTATGACCTTAATTCATCTCCTTTCTGTCCTCAACAGAAAATGCTAGGATCCTTATCTGTAGCCTCCACTACTAGCATCATAGCAATAACTGCTTGCAATGTCAGCATTACAAGCAAAGATACCATGCTTAGAATAGTATATGGGAAACCAAGTATCAAGATCATAAATTGCTAATGAAATACAAGAAGTTTTTGTTTTGTTTTTAAAAAAAGCAAGCCATTTGAATGATTTGTAGTTGTCTCCGTGGCCACAACAATCTGTAGGTACAGCTGTGAGAGTGCCAAAAAGTTACTTAATGGAAAATATGGCATGTGTTCCTTACTGCCCTATTCAGTTTTTAAAACGTGAACTTAATCGCCAAAAATGAGTGTGGGAACATTAGTTGCACTGGAGTTTGGAGAAAAAGAGACAATTATTTTTTATCCATCATATGTATGACAAATTGCCCTAACACTAATATCTTGATGCTTAAAAGTCTTGACAAAAGACCATTTCACTATTTATCGCACTTAACATATTAATTCTACAGAGCTGAGCTACGGTCCATGAAATTTATTAAATTAATGCAAGGGAAAGAAATGCAGGTGATCGGATGACAGTAAGTAGAAGGTTCATACTGTGCCTATTTCTCTTACAGATCAGTAGCAGATTTCACCTGTGGTGGGCTTGGGCTTAGAATCAGGAGACAGAGAAGCTTCTTCACTTTTGCGTCTCAGCAAAAGGATTCAAAATTTTCCACCTTGAAACTGGCATTACTGTGGACTTTTCAAAACTGAAACTCTTTTACTGTAACAACAGGACCCAGTAGGTGCTTTTCATTAAACTGATTAAGTCAGTCAAAATCTGTGGAAAGATTTTGAATAAATTCACTGGGCTTTGGGTCAGCAAAATGTAAATTAATCAAAGATGCAGCTCATAGTGAGTAATCCTGCAAAGAGTGGTTCTTCCTTTACTCTCTCTGAGTTCATGAAGATTTGAGGACATCAGGTCCTCCATCTCTGACTGAGATCTAAGATCTTTTAAAGGAATATGAGGTATGCTTGAAAGCTTCAGTAGGCTTAGTAGAGGCTGAACTAACATCTTTTGCATATGCTATACAAAAACAATTCAACCTCCTATGTGCTGGGACTTGTTTCTGAAGTATCTAGCAGCCCTATTCAGGAACTTCAGAACAGAGTTATATTTTTAAACACCATTCTTTCTGATGGGGAAATCAAAAATTTCTAGTCTGAATTTAAAACCATTGTCCTCATTAATATAAAAATAAGATAAAAGGGAGGTAAAAATAAGAGCACCTTTAGATACTTGAGTTAAGTAACCTAGTAGTAAGATTTCACTTTCTTACCTTTCCCTTCCCCAAAAACCACTTCCATTGCTAGAACTATATACTATATAGACTATAAATACCATCAAAATCATCAGGAGTGCTCCAAGGGAAAAGTATGAACACATGCAGCACAGCTAAGTATGGTTGATTGCAGTAGATTTGAGCTCACTCTAACCAGTGCAAGCCACTTATAATCTACAAGGTGGGTTTATTAGCTTGGGTTTAACCTGGCAGTAATGCAATTACAGGGGGCAGAACAACTGCCTGCAGTCTACTGTGAAGACATACGCTAAATATCTTAAGTTTCAGGAAATACTGTAGATCTTAATAGCTCTGCTGTTAGTATGGTTGAGGAAGTGGGTTCTTAATTTGTCTGGCTCCAGCAGAATTGTTTTTCAGGTTAACTGAGTAGGCGAAGGGTTTTTTTTTACGGGAAACATTCCCTTCAGAATTGGATTTCAAATGATCCTGAAACAGTTAAACATGGCAGCCACAAACAAAGCAGGTCCAACATTTAAGATCATGACCCTTCCTCACTTTTGCTTGTAGCCAGTGAGCCAGGAAAACAGGACCCTCCTTCAGACCACTAGTTCTGGGCTGCCTTGATAGCAAAAGAGGAGTCAGCTTTAGTTTATGGACAAACAGACATGCTAGGATAGCCAGACAGTAGACCACCCAGACAAAAGACGAGATTCACCAGTTCTGGTTCAGCCCTCCGTTGGGCCACAGTGCAACCTCTGCAGAGCCCTTAGGCTCACAGGGCTGGGCAGTGCCAGCGCAGCACTGTGCAAATGCATGGAGCCTGCGCATGTCCACTCTGCCCATTCCTATCCCCCTCCTGCAACACAGAGCATGAGAAAACACAAGCACAAAGACACGCTGGTCTATCCAGGCTTATTATTTACCCCTCGTGGTACTCCCTAGGCTGCTGCAGTCCAAGCTCCAACCTACGGTGCCTGTCTGCATTCACACGGGGACAGCAAGCACTGAGCACAGTAGTGCAGTGAGGAGGGTAATAGTTTCCCCTGGTTCTAGCTTGGTGGCACAGACAGAACTATGAAACCTGGATAAACCTGAGCTGGCTCCTGATGGAAATCCCACAAATCGGTCTGTCCTGCATTCCTCCTCTTTGGGAGGAACGTGACAGGGAGTCTGCAGAGTCTCAGAATGACCAGCATGAGTCTGTCAAGGTTATTCATCACAGTTCCACACCTCAGCAAGAAATCCTGCTGTCCCTGCCAACACAGATCGGCAGCCCAGACAACCCACTGCATGTAACTGCTGGCTGAGCACCAGAGACCTGCGAATTGGGAAGACAGCATTTGATGTGATGCTCTACTTTCAAACTCCACCTAAAGCTTGCTATACCTTATTTCATAACTAAAACGGCACTCTGTGGGAGCAGGCGGGGTCATTCCTCCGGCATAACGGGCTGTGGCAGGGCTGCCACAGATGTTACTGTTGTGCACGAGGATGGGGTCTGAACTTTTGCTGAGACCTCTGGGACTATCTTTAGGTATTTGGAGATGTGCTTTTAAGTATTATGCTCTTCAGTGTCTCACATGGCAGGATAAGCAAGGATGTGGGCTGATGAACAAAACACCGCATGATCCTTTTCTTCTCACTTTACCTGCCCCTGTTATGCCGAAAATAATGTACTGTGGCATTTTTCATAGGAATCTGATGAAAAATCCTTTTTTTCTTTCAGCTACGATGAATGCGTGGGGCCAGGAGCAACACAAATATATATTCCCACAGACGATCCCCCCCCATATTCTCTTACGGACCCTTGCCAAAGAAATGAAATATCTATAAACATTAGCCTGGAACAGGAAGCAGCAGCTGGGACTACAGGACAGGCTGCAAATTATGCAGTCCGGCTACAGGACTTGCAGCAGCCCATTTCATCCATCTCTCTGTCGTCTCTCACTCTGGAGGCTGCTCCACTGTACGAGACGGTGGTGTGTGAACAGAATATCCCCATCCCCCTTGTTCCGATGGAAGTACTGAAAAATTCTTCCACTGACTATCAGACCCTTCTGAACCAAATCATGTGATTAAAAGTGGCTCTTTCCTTCAGTTCTTCTGAAGAACTCAGATGGACAAAAACATGTAAATGGAAGAATAAAACCTCTGAAAGTTTTACCTATTTTATATCTTTGAACAGGGATGCAATGGGATTTTTTTACAGTGAATTTTGAAAGTTTACCTACACTCCCTTCTTTGTGCTTCAGTGTTCCATGACATCACGCAGCATAAAAGAGCAGCAGTGACAAGCAGTGCATCTGACCTTTTTGAAGCATTTCAAAATGCATTGAAATCAGCCACTCGTAATGTAGATATATCTTATCCAGTCCAGCCTACTTGTTGATTTTATGATACCTTGCATGTTTTAGAGCAGAAGGAAAAAGAAGAGCATTTTGTTGTCTTTGTAGGTGTCACTAGTATATTTCATTCAGTGTCTTGGCAACAAAGCATTTTGAAATGAATGTTTGTCTAAATATGTGTTTCAGTAGACAGAGACAGAACACTGCCTGCAAAACATGCCTATTGGTACCATATAGGAGCAAAAGAGAAAGGAGAATAGTATTTTGATAGTCACATTTTTCCTTTGGAAAACCTGCCCAGTGCCAGGCTTTCCAGACCATTGCTAAGCCTGCTGTAAGTCTTCCTCCAAAGAAACCAGCAGCAAGTGATGGAGAGGTGGCAGTGAATCCCCAAACACCACTTGGCTTTACCTACAGAAGCTATACTGCAGCCTTGTGCAGGCCTGGGAGCTGCCTGCCCTTCACAGGGACTTGCTATAGCCGAGGGAAGGGCACTGCCTGGAACCCCAGAAGATGCTTCATGCAGATTCCCATGTGCGACTGCATTTTCAGGCACTAACTGATCTCTTTCTTCAGTAAGGAGCCTGTAGTGTTACAAAGGACCTTCACAGAATCACAGAATAGTAGGGGTTGGAAGGGACCTCTGTGGGTCATCTAGTCCAACCCT